AAGCTACGATGGAGTTCATGAAGCAATTCTATGGAAACTTGGTTCGTGGGAAGAGTGCCAGTGAATCTCTCCACGAGACCATGAAATGGATGAGAGAGAACCCACCATTCTGTGAACTGAGAAAGTGGGCACCATTCATGCTGATTGGAGATGATGTGTCATTTGATTTTGCAAACTCAAAGTAAGTGTGTTGACTAGACCCTGCGATGCACAGTGATCGAGTTATAGAAACAAAGGTTATATGCGGTGTTAGAGTACTTGAATATCTCTGGAACGAAAAGAGATACTTGAAAATAGTAAACAGCACTTTTCTTCTCGTACAGACTACTTGTTTATGTTTTAAAATGGCTTAGGTAGGAAAGATGTGAATTTCATCATGGTGTTACACACACTAATATATATAGTCCGTGTACGGAATTGAAAGGATATCTGTTATGCTGTCTATCTACGTTCTAAGAGACTATTGAACAACTATGTGAAGCAGATAGGCTATATTGAAAATAAGGAAAAGATCTATTGAAATCCAATTTAGACGCATCATTAAGCTGTACAACGTATAATCAGTTACTAAAGCGTTTTTGTTTAATTTGTTTCCAGCATGAAAATGACTAACGGAAAATGCAAATCTCAGAAGAGAGACTGATTGATCCTTTTTCTGAAGGACGGATTTCAAAGAGAAGCAAAAGTGAAGCTTATGATTGTCTTGTACATAGTCCTTGCTTTTTCTGGCTTGAAAGAGCTTTCCAAGGCTTCGTTACCATTTCCAAGACTCTTTAATTGTGGACACTCCGAGGTGTCAATACAGCTTATCGTTTTTTAGCGTTTTCGTATCCTTTGTTCTAACACGCTAGAAAGTTCTGAAAGGATTGACAACCAAGGATTACACATCTTGTTAAAGTACATACCGTCACGATTGTCCATGCACTTGTCTCTTCACGTAATGAATCTCGCAGCCTGCGTAGCTCACGAGATTTCACCCAAGAGGTTTTTTTTTTAAACTTTATTTAAGGTTACCGTATACCTTTAGAGGTGCCTCACGTCCAAGCGATGTAGCGCGTCCGGTTTAAACTGTAGATACTTACAGCACTATTTAACAAATAGATTCCATGTTGCCGTGCGTCTGTTCAGTAATAGATCACAGATGACGTCAAAATGTGGTAAGAACAAAAAAGTGGCACACGANCTCTGTGGGCTGTGGACGACGAAGCTACGATGGAGTTCATGAAGCAATTCTATGGAAACTTGGTTCGTGGGAAGAGTGCCAGTGAATCTCTTCACGAGACAATGAAATGGATGAGAGAGCACCCACCATTCTGTGAAGTGAGAAAGTGGGCACCATTTATGCTGATTGGAGATGATGTGTCATTTGATTTTGCAGACTCAAAGTAAGTGTGTTGACTAGAGCCTGCGATGCACGGTGATCGAGTTATAGAAACAAGAGTTATATGTAGTGTTAGAGTACGTGAATATCTCTGGAACGAAAAGAGATACTTGAAAATAGTAAACAGCATTTTTCTTCTCGCACAGACTACTTGTTTATGTTTGAAAATGGCGTAGGTAGGAAAGATGCGAATTTCATCATGGTGTTACACACACTGTAATACATATAGTCCGTGTACGGAATTGATAGGATATCTGTTATGCTGTCTATCTACGTTCTAAGAGACTATTGAACAACTATGTGTAGCAGATAGGCTATATTGAAAATAAGGAAAAGATCTATTGAAATCCAATTTAGACGCATCATTAAGCTAAACAACGTAGAATCAGTTACAAAAGCGTTTTTGTGAAATGAAAATGACTAAAGGAAAATGCAAATCTCACAAGAGAGACTGATTGATCCTTTTTCTGAAGGACGGATTTCAAAGAGAAGCAAAAGTTAAGCTTATAATTGTCTTGTACATAGTCCTTGCTTTATCTGGCTTGAAAGAACTTTCCAAGGCTTAGTTACCATTTCCAAGACTGTAATTGTGGACACTCCGAGGTGTCAATACAGCTTATCGTTTTTTAGCGTTTTCGTATCCTTTGTTCTAAAACGCTAGAAAGTTCTGAAAGGATTGACAACCTAGGATTTCACATCTTGTTAAAGTACGTACCGTCACGATTGTCCATGTACTTGTCTCTTCACGTAATGAATCTCGCAGCCTGCGTAGCTCACGAGATTTCACCCAAGAGGTTTATTTTAAAACTTTATTTAAGGTTACCGTATACCTTTAGAGGTGTCTCACGTCCAAGCGATGTAGCGCGTTTGGTTTAAACTGTAGATACCTACACCACTATATGAAATTAAAGCTTATAGAGCTGGCTATCAAATTGTACCAAGAATTTTGGAAATTTTTTATGACCTTTAAATGCGAGCGTCCGATTCACCTTTTGATATCTACAGATCAAAGGGAATTTTGGTTTTCGCTTCATTTAATTTGTCCCTCAGTTTCCGGACCCAAAGCGCCAAAATAACGTGTCTGCTATTTGCCATACTCAATTTCAGTGAAAAGCTACAGAACCATTTTCGAAGTAGGATAAACAAAAATATGGAGTAATCGTAGAAAAATCACTCTCCGAGAAAAATTATTTAGAAATAAAAAAATTCGCAGACAGATTATTGTTGTTTATATGTTAACCTAGCTGCTGTCTAAATTTTTGAGGGCAGACGAACAGATTGCAGGGGAAATGGGAGACACGGTGGCCTCATGATTAGTGCGCTGGTCTCCGGATCGAGCGGTCCGGTTTCGAGCCCTGGCCGGGCACATTGCGTTGTGTTGTTGGGTAAGACACTTTATTTTTTAAAAAGACAAAAATAAATAAATGAACAAAGTGCAAGACATGCTGAAAAAAACTTTAAATTGATGCTTAGTTAAGAAGAGGCATAACATTTTCCCATTTTTTGTAGTGCTTATGGAGTCTGTCATTTCTTTTGGCAATTTTTCTATGTCATAAACTAATTTGATCTATTCAAATAAAACTCTTAACGTTGGTTTAGTTTTGTTCAATTTACATTTATAAATAAAATATTTAGCAATG